GGAGAGGGGCCAGCCCTGTGGCACAGTGGGTAAAGCCGCCGCGTGCCGTGCCAGCATCCTATATCAGTGCTGGTTCGAGTCCCGGCTGCTCCATTTCTGATCCATTTCTGATTCTGCTCTCTGGGAAAGCAGTGGAAGATGGCCCAAGTCCTTGGGCTTCTGCACCCGCGTGGGAGACCAGGAAGAAGCTCCTGGCTCCTGGCTTCGGATCGGCTCAGCTCCGGCCATTGCAGCCATTCAGGGAGTCAACTAGCGGATGGAAGACCCCACTCTGTTACTCTTTCAAATAAATAAAAATAAATCTTTAAAAATAAATATACATAAATCTTTTTTTATTTATTTATTTATTTATTTATTTATTTTTTTTGACAGGCAGAGTGGACAGTGAGAGAGAGAGACAGAGAGAGAAAGGTCTTCCTTTGCCGTTGGTTCACCCTCCAATGGCCGCCGCTGCAGCCGGCGCACCGCGCTGATCCGATGGCAGGAGCCAGGATCCAGGTGCTTTTCCTGGTCTCCCATGGGGTGCAGGGCCCAAGCACCTGGGCCATCCTCCACTGCACTCCCTGGCCATAGCAGAGAGCTGGCCTGGAAGAGGGGCAACCGGGACAGAATCCGGCGCCCCGACCGGGACTAGAACCCGGTGTGCCGGCGCCGCTAGGCGGAGGATTAGCCTATTGAGCCACGGCGCCGGCTAAATCTTTTTTAAAAAAGGAAGAGCACAGTAAGAAGGCAGAAGACGACCTACAGAACATGACAGTAGAGAATCTTCTAGAATGGTTGGTGGATGCCAATCCTCAGAATCAGTTCAACAAAGCCCAACAGGGAAATCACAGGAAATCTACACCTACTGCTCAAGTGGAGGATTACTCAATTTAATTCCATTAAATCCTCAAACTTGACTAAATGACAGCAAAAGGATTCTCAACACCAAACAGAAATCCACAAAAGCCTGAGCAGAGCCGGCAGAAGCGACGAGAAGCAGCTGACCTAGAGCCCCAGAGCTCGGCCGCAATCCAGAGATAGGCAAGGTGCACAGACCAGCAGCATTTCAGACAGCAGGACTGCCCTGCAGGGGGCACAGGCAAGTCAGTGTCCAGACAGCAGGACTGCCCTGCAGGGGGACACAGGCAAGTCAGTGTCCAGACAGCAGGACTGCCCTGCAGGGGGGCACAGGCAAGTCAGTGTCCAGACAGCAGGACTGCCCTGCAGGGGGACACAGGCAAGTCAGTGTCCAGACAGCAGGACTGCCCTGCAGGGGGACACAGGCAAGTCAGTGTCCAGAGGGCAGGACTGCCCTGCAGGGGGCACAGGCAAGTCAGTGTCCAGACAGCAGGACTGCCCTGCAGGGGGCACAGGCAAGTCAGTGTCCAGACAGCAGGACTGCCCTGCAGGGGGGCACAGGCAAGTCAGTGTCCAGACAGCAGGACTGCCCTGCAGGGGGACACAGGCAAGTCAGTGTCCAGACAGCAGGACTGCCCTGCAGGGGGACACAGGCAAGTCAGTGTCCAGACAGCAGGACTGCCCTGCAGGGGGACACAGGCAAGTCAGTGTCCAGAGGGCAGGACTGCCCTGCAGGGGGCACAGGCAAGTCAGTGTCCAGACAGCAGGACTGCCCTGCAGGGGGGCACAGGCAAGTCAGTGTCCAGACAGCAGGACTGCCCTGCAGGGGGGCACAGGCAAGTCAGTGTCCAGAGGGTGAGGGGCATCAAGACCCCCGCCCCCAGCAGCATGCTCCTGGGTGAACCACTGCTCTCCCACCCAGCAGTCTGAAGCTCTCTACACAACTCGATGTTATCTGGCCTGACAGATGGCGAGCACAGCTGAGTCCTGAATACAGGTGGCGGGGCTGGTGCTGTGGCACAGCAGGGAAAGCCATCACCTGCAGTGCTGGCATCCCATATGGACGTCGGTTCAAGTCCCGGCTGTTCCACTTCCAATCCAGCTCTGCTATGACCTGGGAATGCAGTAGAGGATGACCCAAGTCCTTGGGCGGAGTCCGTGCAGGAGACCTGGAAGAAGCTCCTGGCTCCTGGCTTTGGATTGACACAGCTCCGGCTGTTGCAGCCATTGAGGGAGTGAACCAGCCAATTGAAGATCTTTCTGTCTCTCCCTCTCAAATAAATAAAATGTTCTTTAAAAAATGCTTCCAGAAGTATACCCACATTGTGGTCAGTTCATTTGACAAAGATGGCAAGACAGTTCCACAGGGAAAGAATGTTCTTCTGGGGGCCAATGTTGTTATGCAGCAGAACAAGCTGCCACCTACATGGTCAGCTCCCCCGTGAGAGGCAGTGCCAGTGCCGGCTGTTCCACTTCCGATCCGGCTCCCTGCTAGTGCACCTGGGAAAGCAGTGGAAGACGGCCCAGGTGCCATGGGGAGATCTGGACGGCAGCTCCAGGCTCTTGGCTTCAGCCTGGCCCAGTGCCAGCCCCTGCAGCCACATGGGCAGTGAACCAGCGGATGGAAGGTCTCTCTCTGTCTCTCCCAGTCTCTGTAACTCTGCCTTTCAAATAAATAAATAAATAAATAAATCTAAAAAAGAAAAAAAAAAAGAATAGTCTTCTCATCAAATGGTGTTGGGATAACTGGATGAACTGGGATCCCTACCTCCCACCACACACAAAATTAACTTAAATTAACAAAATTTAAGAACTAAACCTAAGAAGCGCTCACAAGAAAGCCGAGGGATTCCCTGGATGCACAGGACTAAAAGCTGACTGAGTCTCTCAGCGTGGCCGGCTGAGAGGAAGGGAGGGGGCCCTGCCGTTCCCCGGGCTGCGCGTTGGCCCCAGACACTGAGTCCTGCCAGCCCTCCCAGCTGCCTCCACGCGCAGATTAGCCAGACTTGCTGACCTGCAGTTCTCCAGTTCTCCGAGAACCACGCCCGCCCCAGCCTCCTGCTCACTGAGGGCTGAGTGCCAGCGCAGCCCTCCAGCTGGCTGCTGCTGCTGCTCCCCCCACCCCCCGAGGCAGAAGGTTCCGTCATGATTCCACAGCCAGGAACACACACACACACACACACACACACGTTTCTGGGGAACGATGTGCTGACCGCCGCAAACTAAAAACGAATGCAAACGTGCTTTGTGGACAACAAAATGCTCGGAGGCGGCACGTGATCGGGCTGAGAGGCAGGCGTGTGCCCATAAACACGGGGCCTCTGTGACGTGCCGCGTCCAGCTCGGCCCTCCTCCGGGCCCACTCCCTGGCTTCTCTAATTACAAGCTCACAGGAAGGGTACAAACGCAATCTTAATTCTGGGTTCAGTTTTGTGGGTCTTAAATATATACATTATCTCCATGTTAACAAGAAATAATTTCATCAAGGAAGAAAACCAGACTCAACCAATCAAACCCGGTCCACCGCTCTGGTGCGGACCCTCAGAACCACGTGCACCGTCCCACCCACTCACGAGCTCCTCCAGGTAACAGCAGCTCTGAATGCCTACTGCAGCGCACGCCTGTAACCTGGCAGTGTGAGGCAGTCACGGGGGGACGCCCCACCACGGGGGTCTGGGCGCTACCGCTTAGGGCTTCTGAAGACATCTGCCTGGCACACTCAGGAGCTCAACGTGCGGCCTGGACGGGTACAGGAGAAGCCGGGGGCGAGGCGGTGTGGCACGGTGCGGCACGGTGTGGCGGAACTGGAGCCAGGCAGGAGACGCCACACCTGGAGATGACGAGCATTTCTACCCAAGTGGCCCGAGGATCACAACACTGAAACAAATCGAAGAGAACAAACCCAGCACGCCACACGGCCTGCGGTGGACCGCACCACACAGTAAAGCTACAGCCGCCGCAGACCGAGTACAAACGACTGACAGTCAACAGACACAGACGCCATCCAGCCGGGCCACGAGCTCTCTGGCCCCCTGGCAAAGCCGGAAGGGAAGGCTCCTGTCCTCATTTTTCAAAGAGGGAGTCCAGGGACAGCAGACGCAGGCACGTCCGTCACGACGGCGTCCCACCAGCAGAGAGGGGGCCAGCTGCTCGCACTCAGCGAGTCATCGGAGGCGGCACTCTGCGTGGGCCTCCACACCGCACACCCGTGTCCTGCACCTCATCTCACCCAGCGCCAGGCCCACGCAGGGCTGAACCTGCCCGGGGTGATACACCCCGTCAGTAGCAGAGCCAGAGAAAGAAACCAACCACTCTCCCAGGCTTCACGAAACTTGCAAACAAAACAGGGCGGAACCCCCCAGCTGCTCACCCTCCCCACACACGCCCTCTCCTGAGCGCCACGCCCACCAACTCAACTCCATCCCAGAGACAACAGAAGCTGCTGCTCGCCCAGCCAACTCTTTTCCTTTAGATTCACTGATTTGAAAAGCAGAGCGACCGAAGAGGAGGAGAGACAGAGACAGAGGTATTTATTTATTTAAAAAGCAGAATGAGAGACAGAGATCAGGAGCCAGGAGCCTCTTCCAGGTCTCCCACGTGGGTGCAGGGCCCAAGCACCTGGGCCTCCTCCACTACTTCCCCAGGCACACTGGCAGGGAGCAGGAATGCAAGCGGGGCAGCCAGGACTCAGAAGGGGGGCAGAGGCTCAGCAGCCACGCCACGCCACGCCACGCCACGCCACGCCACGCCACGCCACGCCACGCCACGCCACGCCGGCTCTTTGGCAGACTTCATCTCCACACCAGCCTCGTCTTTCAAACTCGACACCGCACTGAGAGGCGAAGCCCGTCTGCCTGCTCAGCTCTCAGTCTGGAGCAGCCGTCTGCTCCTGCAGGGACAGCGCCTCAAGCCAGGTGTCGCACGACTCCCCAGCCCAGCCCAGCACCCTGCTCTGAGGGACAGTCTGTCTGGGTCATGGAGCACCGCAGAATACCACAACCACACCGGGACTGCTTCCTTGTCAGTCTGTCAATGCTTTTAAGTATTCAACGGAAATGAACTATTTCTGCTGCTAAAGTAATTCTTTAAAAGTAAATTACAATCCACACTCATTAACACCTGCAAAAAGCAATTAAAAACTCAATTTGCTTTGCCCTTACCCCATTCTCAGTGCGCTTTTCTCCAGGGACGTTCATTACGTTTCTCTGAGTTCTCTGCTCTTGGGTCTGACGGCCACCTAAAGAAAGACAAGGACCAAGATACTTCACACTGGAGAACCCACGCTCACACCGCGACACACACGGCACACTGGAGAACCCACGCTCACACCGCGACACACACGGCACACTGGAAAACCCATGCTCACTCCACAACACACAGCATACTGGAGAACCCACGCTCACTGCGCGACACACACGGCACACTCGACAGTGAAGCCCCAGGCCCAGAAAGCCAAGGGTCAGCACAATGAAGGAAAGTTTACAATTCATCTTTGTTTTTTTCCAAAGATTTATTTATTCATTTGAGAGTGCTTCCATCCACTGGTTCACTCCCCCATTGGCCGCAATGGCTGGATGCGCCAATCCAAAGCCAGGAGTCAGGAGCCTCTTCCAGGTCTCCCACACGGGTGCAGGGGCCCAAGGACTTGGGCCATCTTCTACTGCCTTCCCAGGCTGTAGCAGAGAGCTGGATCGGAAGTGGAGCAGCCGGGACTCGAATCAGCGCCCACATGGGATGCCAGCACTGCAGGCAGCAGCCCCACCTGCTACGCCACAGCACCGGTGTGGTGGAATGGGAAGGTGAGAAGGTCATGCCAAGATGGCTGCTGACAACAGAAACTGCCTGGCAACAGGCCATGATTGGATGGCTTTGGAAACCACATGACAACAGAGCCTGACTGACAACAGGCTGTGATTGGATGGTTTCAGAAACTGCCTGGCAACAGAGCCTGACTGGCAACAGGCTGTGATTAGATGGCTTTGGAAACTGCCTGGCAACAGGCTGTGATTGGTTAGGGCAAAGACCGCCCCTTGACCGGATTGGCTGCCTTGGCTATATAAGCTGCTGTACCAACTGAAAGAAACGAGTCTGCAGGCTGCTTGCCTCAGGCCTGCTTTCACCCGACTCCCGGGGTCTGTGTGGTGACTCCGCGCCTCTTGCCCCCAACACACTCTTCCTCTCAGGAATGAATCCACTGCAACACACCGCCCCTTGCAATTTGTATCTTAGACTTGAAGTTGTTCAAATGAAATCTTTTCAAAACATTCCAGAATCTCGAAATTGACTTGACATCAGAAACCTTTTTAACACTTAAATATGGTAAAGGGGGATGGGTGTGAAGATGCCCACATCCCATATTAGAGTGCCTGGGATTGAATCCTGGTCCCACTTCCCTATAGCTTCCCAGCAACACACACCTGGGATCAACAAGTGACAGCTCAAGTGCTAGGGTCCCTGCCATCCACAGAGGAGGCCTGGCTGGGGCTGCAGCCCCCTGGCTTCTGCCTGGCCCAGTCCTGGCTAATGAGAGCATCTGAGGAGTGAACCAGCAGACAGACAACCTCTGTCTGTCTATGTCTGTCTCTCCGTCATTCTGCCTTTCAAAAATGTAAATAAAAATTTTTTTAGAATTTTTTGACAGAGTTAGACAGTGAGAAAGAGTGAGAGAGTGAGAGAGAGAAAGGTCTTCCTTCCGTCGGTTCACCCCCCAAACGGCCACAACGGCCAGAGCTGCGCCGATCTGAAGCCAGGAGCCAGGTGCCTCCTCCTGGTCTTCCATGCGGGTGCAGGGGCCCAAGCATTTGGACCATCCTCCACTGCCTTCCTGGGCCACAGCAGTGAGCTGGATTGGAAGAGGAGAAACTGGTTCTAAAACCCGGTGCCCATATGGGATGCCAGCGCCGCAGGCGGAAGATTAACCAAGTAAGCCACGGCGCCAGCCCTTGTAAATAAAAATTTAAAACTTCTATTTTGTTATTTTTTTAAAAAAAGATTTTATTTATTTATTTGAGAGGTAGAGTTACAGACAGTGCGAGGGAAGGAGAGAGAGAGAGAGGTCTTTCTTCCATTGGTTCACTCCCCAAATGGCCGCAATGGCGGGAATTATGCCGATCTGAAGCCAGGTGCTTCTTCCACATTTCCCATGCAGGCACAAGGGCCCGAGGACTTGGGCCATCTTCCACTGCTTTCCCAGGCCACAGCAGAGAGCTGGATCAGAAGAGGAACAGCTGGGACTCAAACCAGCGCCCATATGAGATGCTGGCACTGCAGGTGGAGGATTAACCTACTATGCCACAGTGCCAGTCTCTTGTTACAGTTTTGAAAAAATGGCAAAGAATGCAGATTCTACAATTAAAATTAAAATTTCTCAAGAAGGTTTTTATATTTTAGGAGACTAAAATAAAACAAAATGGGGGCAGGCCTGTGATTAAGTGGGTTAACGTGCCACTCACAACACCCACCGCCCTTATCAGATGGGCCGGAGTCCCAGCTGCTCAGCTTCCAATCCAGCTTCCTGCTAATGCATCTGGGGAGGTCACAGATGATGGCCCAAGGACTTGGGGTCTGCCCCCAACATGTGAGACCTGGATCAAGGTCCTGGCTGCTGTGTCAGCCTGGCTCAGCCCTAGCTGCAGCAGGCGCATGAGGAGTAAACCAGCAGGTAGATTCCACACTCCCATCCCCACCCCAAGAGCTACTCTACCTTTCAAATAAATAAGTGCATTTTTAAAAGTAGAAAATGAAAACGGATGCTAAACACTGATTTTTCACTAACAGAGTTGAACCAGGAACACTACCTTAAATTTGGCATTTTTAAACTCCCTGTGGTTTTGTAAAAACTAAAATTTTGTTTACAAAGCATCAAATGTAAACAGAAAAATTCTCTGCATGTCCCGTCATTTTCCACATGACGCACGATTCTACAGGCACAGCTCCAGGCTGCACAGACCCACGTCTGGGACCCGCTGCAGGCAGCTCCTCCCTGGTCCCAGCCCTGGCTCTCGGTGCCCGGTGACAACCATCACGCCAGAGTCTGCTGCACGCATGGCTTCCAAGGGGCCCGCACCTACTGTTCAAAACAACTTCTCTGGAAATATATATTTATTGAATTATTTAAAGTTTAAAAAAACAACTTCTTTTTCTTTCTTTTCTGTTTTATTACCTGGGAAATCTGGAAGTTAACGCACTTTACAGATATATCACTCCACCTGAAACTACTCTCAAAGGAGGAGATATCGCCCCCAATGAGGCAAACACTGGATTGTGAGGGCAGTCTGAGGACAGGCAAGGATGACACGTCTAAAAGAGCCTCCCGGGGCTGGAACTGTGGTGAAATGGGTAAAGCCCCACCTACCACATGGGCATCCCATATGGGAGCCAGTTCGAGTCCTGGCTGCTCCACTTCCAATCCAGCTCCCTTCTAATACACCTGGGAAAGCAGCAGAGGACGGCCCAAGTGCTTAGGCCTCTGCCACCCTTGTAGGAGACCTGGAGGAAGCTCCTGGCTCCTGACTTCAGCCTGGCCACAGCCATCAAGGCCATCTGGGAAGTGAGCCAGCACTTTGGAAGATCTATCTTCATATTGGAAGATCTATCTTCATCTCCCTCTCCGTGTCTTTCTCTATCTCTGCCTTTAAATATATATATACATATATGTATATATTTGTGTATATATATATGTAACTATATATACATATAATATTTTTGTATTTTTTTAAAACCTCCTGGGGGTGGGAAAGACGATCAGACTATGACATCTGCCACCTCTAACAGCTCACAGGGCAAATTAAATTCCTGGTTATTTTTAGCATTTTCAAGGAATAAAGGAGACAGGTTAGCTTAATTTTACTCAATTGCTACCTCTTCCATACAACTATCAAGAAATCAGGACGGGGGCTGGTGCTGTGGCGTAGTTAGTAAAGTAGCTGCCGGCATCCCATATGTGTACCAGTTTAAGACCTGGCTGCTCTGCTTCCAATCCAGCTCCTTGCTAATGCACCTGGGGGGACAGTGGAGGATGTCCCAGGTGCTTAGGCCCCGTACCCATGTGGGAGACCCAGAAGAAGCTCCGGGCTCCTGGCTTCAGCCTGACACCACTGCAGCCATTTGGGGAATGAACCAGTGGATGGAAGATCTGTGTGTGTGGGGTGTGTGTGTGTGTGTGTGTGTGTGTGTCTTCCTCCATCTCCATAACTCTTTCAAATAAATAAAAAAAAAAAAGAGAGAAAGAAACCAGGATGGGATGCCATCACATACATTAAAATTAGACCAAGTCCCATCTCCTCTTTGAGGGTAAGAAGGAAACTTGATGACCTGGCAGCTCAGAGAGAATCACAGACAAATGCTTTCGGTGCATCTACTGTGCACCAAGCTCCCCAAGCACTTCCCACACCTCATCAGCCCTCACCTCGCTATGGGCACTGTGCACCTGCAGACGGCGAAGGGACGTCCCCTGCCCTAAGTGAACAGTGGGCTGGGGACTGAAGGCCGCGGCCCCTCCTAACTCACCACACGCGTGCAGGTCCTGGTCTGTGCTCTCCGCTGGCTGGGGGAGCGCCCGAGTGCAGTGAGTAGTAAGGGGACTAAGGTGGACCTCGCTCGCGCGCCCTTCTCTTCGCTTCCAAGGACACAACTCCCACCTCTTAGTCAAGGGGTGGCTTCTACCTCCTGTCACGTCCTGTAGCCCTACACACAGCATTTACCCAAACACAATCTCCTTCCAATAAGACTCAGCAGTGGTAGTAGCGCTGCCCTCTGCAAGAAACCCGAGTCTGGGTCCTGCACCGGGGTGGGAGACACACGTCTGTGAGCAGAGCAGGAGCCCCCCAGGGAACGCAGGCCAGAGCCAGTGTTCTCTCCACTACCTCCTCCTCCAGCTGCGGTGGGTGGGATGCCATCAGCACAGGCAGAGAAGGGGGCGCTGGCACATCACAGCAGTGGGAGGCGGATCCTGAGCGAGGGCCAGAGACGGGGCAGAGAGAGTCAATGACAACTCAACTCACTCTGAGGGCTGTGGGGGCCACAGGTTCTCCAGTCTCCACCCACCTCCTGCACCAGCCTCGGTCAGGAAGGCAGGTCCCTGTGGCCTCATACCTCCCTGGCGGTCACCCCAACGCCTGCCAGGGTGCAGAGGCTCTGCCCTCTCCCCTGGAGACCCACTCTTCTTGGTGCTCTGCTCCGTCCACATGGGTGGTCGCCCGCTGGGCCCGTTCACCACACACACACGCTGCGGCCTTCCCTATAACCTTGGATGGTTCTCAAGACTCCTTTACGGTCTTTAACTTTGTGACGTGAGGAAGACAAAAACAAAAACCCTCTCTTGGGACACCAGGGCTTCTGCAGGCACAGTCCACCAGTGAAAGTGAACAAGGGTTGCTACTTGTGTGAGCACAACAAGGGGACGGCGAGGTGGGGAGCTCAGCTCCGAGCAGTGCCTCGTCCACACCTAGGGACCTCCTTGGCAAGGGCTGTCCCTCCCCGTCCCTGTCCCGAGGATGTGGAGCTGAGCCTGGGGCCTCACGGCCCTCACTAAAGCCGCTGGGGAGTGAAACCGAGACACAAGCGAGTGCCGTGGGAACTACATGGGAGCAGAAACATTATGTCAGAGAAGCAGCATTGCATCCAAGGGGAAAGTGTCCTTCAATACGGAACACAAAGGGCTAACTGGGAATACAGAATCTCCTGTTACAAAAAGATCTCCTTTAAAGTTCATTTAAGCACCAGAAATACCTGTAACCTTGTTAGATAATGGTTCTCTTAGCTGTACAGTGTACACATGTTCAGAAAAAGACGCTTTTATTTCCCTTAAATTTTAATTCAAAAATAAGTAGTGTATTCCCACAGCTCACGGTGGCTGGCTCTCCACCAGTGTCTCATCCTTCCTTCCAAGGACACGCCATAAACAATCACCCTGCCCCATGGTCACACGAAAGGCACCATGCTGGGCTCACTGGGCGTGTCCAGGAGGGGTGCGGCCGCAGGCACAGCTGAGCCACACTGTGCCCGAGTCGCTCCGCTCATGCCCAGGCCCAGTTTCTGGACAAACTCCCACAGTGAGACTGGTGGTTTCAGAGCTGTGTGCCGACTGCAGCCCACTCCCAGCAGGTCCCGATCTCCAACGCCTCCGGCAGGAAGCAGCATCAGCACAGCTTCCCGCGCTTCTGCAGGAGTACGCCTCCACACCCTGCAGGCAGCCCAGGCCCCGAGCAGCTCTCTCCCTGGCCGTGTGGGTGCGCGTCCTCCCCATGTTGCACTGAGCTCTGCCATCGATCTTCCAGCGCTCTCTACACGTCGGGGAAGCTGGCTTCGGCAGCATGAGCGAGCAGTGCTGCCCCCGTTTCTACTTCCTCCTCTGACCCGGCTCAGGATGCTGACTGTGCGCTGACATCTGTACTTACTGTTGTTGAACTCACTTGGGACCAGCGTTTGGCTCAGGGGTCAGGGAGCCTGGTGGGACGCCTGCCTCCCCTATCAGCACGCGTGGTTTCAAGTCCCAGCTCTGCTCTTCATTCCAGCTCCCTGCTAATGCGCACCCTGGGGGCAGCAGGTGACGGCTCGAGTGGCCGGGCCCCGCCACAGACTCAGAGACCTGTCCTGGCTCCCAGGCCCCTGCGGAGTGAACCCGGGAACAAGGGCTCTCTCATATCCATTCATCAGTTTTGTCTTATGGTTTAGTGCTAGACCTAGAAAGCCTTGTCCACTCTGTATTGGCTGTTTGTTGGGCAAGTAAAAAAAAATTTTAAGATTTATTTATTTGAAAGGCAGAGGTATAGAGAGTCAAAGGCAGAAAGAGAAATGTCTACCATTCATTGGTTCTGAAGCCAGAAGGCAGGAGCTTCCTCCAGGTCTCCCACGTGGCTGCAGGGGCCCAAGCACTTGGGTCATCTTCCACTGCTTTTCCAGGCCACGCAGAGAGCTGGATGGGAAGAGGAGCAGCCAGGACTTGAACTGACACCCATGTGGGATGCCGGCACTGCAGGCAGCAGCTTCAGCGGTTATGCTACAGAGCTGCTTCCCCAAGGATTTTCTAATTGTTTCATGTTTTTTATTTCAAAGACCTTCATCGCCGGCGCCGCAGCTCACTAGGCTAATCCTCGGCCTTGCGGCGCCGGCACACCGGGTTCTAGTCCCAGTCGGGGTGCCCGATTCTGTCCCGGTTGCCCCTCTTCCAGGCCAGCTCTCTGCTGTGGCCAGGGAGTGCAGTGGAGGATGGCCCACGTGTTTGGGCCCTGTACCCCATGGGAGACCAGGAGAAGCACCTGGCTCCTGCCTTCAGATCAGCGCGGTGCGCCGGCCGCGGCGGCCATTGGAGGGTGAACCAACGGCAAAGGAAGACCTTTCTCTCTGTCTCTCTCTCTCACTGTCCACTCTGCCTGTCAAAAAAAAAAAAAAAAAAAAAAAAAAAAAAAAACCCTTCATGTTCCAGCACCACGTTCCTGTCCATGCCGAGCGCCCTGCCTGACAGCCCCGGGCTGGGCCAGGAGAGCCTGCTTCCTCGCGGGCTGTGACCTGCACTGCGTAGCCGAAGGCCGTAAGCCCCTGGCCTTCCTATCACAGGAGAGTGAAGGGGACGCAGTGGGTGTCTGTGTGTGTGTTTACTTTAACACGTATCCTTTTTTCCTAACATCTACAGCAAAATCAACAAATGAGGAAGAAAGCACTCATCTACCTTGTTCACTGCTCTCGGCAGGGGAGTCCTCGTGGCGCAGGAAAAACTTCACTTCTTCCCTCCGCGGCCCCCACTTCTGCAGGTGGTCGTACATCATGTGATCGAAGGGGATGGGACGCTCTAGGAGAAAGACCACATCTCACTCACTGCGGACCACGCCCCTCGCACGTGAAAGCCCACAAGCACGCGTTCTAGAATTCAAAGATACTACCAGCACTGCCCTCCAACTCACTTCAGGCAAACAACTTGGGCAACGCTCAGTAAAACCACTGAAAGCCTCTACGACGTCCATCGCAGAGCAGCGCGCGGCCAGGTCAGCAAAGTGTTCACTGACACAGCACCCGTGAGGTGGGCACTGTGGCGCAGCGGGTCAAGCCGCAGCCTGCAACGCCAGCATCCCCTAGGAGCGCCGATTTGAGTCCTGGCTGCTCCACTTCCGACCAGGCTGCCTGCTAATCCACCTGAGAAGGCTGTGGACCAGCAGATGTAAGACCTGGCCCTCTGTCACTCTGCCTTTCAAAGTGGCTTAACTCATTATACCACAACGACGGTCCCTGTTCTGCCATCAGGTAAATGCAAACAAACATTTTCAGTTACATTTGAAATGCATTTAGTTTATATTACTGAAGACTTCTGTTCTCCGTAAGTGCTGGCAGATTCAATCCTGTTGCCAGAATGAGCCCTGTCCACCTTTCTACGCCAAACTGCCACATGTGACTTTTTATTTAACATTTACTTACGAGGCTGGCGTTGTAGCACAGTAGGTGAGGCTGCTGCCTGTAGCGCTGGCATCCATATGGCTGCTGGTTTGGGTCCCAGCTACTCCACTACTGATCCAGCTCCCTGCAAATGCACCTGGGAAAGCAGCAGCAGATGGCCCCAGTCCTTGGGCCCCTGCACACACGTGGGAGACCTGGAAGAAGCTCCTGGCTTCAGATCAACCCAGCTCCAGCTGTTGTGGCCATTTGGGAAGTGACCAGCAGATGGAAGGTCTGTCTCTCCCTCTCTGTAGCTCTTTTAAATAAATACTAAATAGGGGCTGGCACTGTGGCTCAGCGGGTTAACGCCCTGGCCTGAAGCGCCGGCATGCCGTATGGACGCCAGTTTGAGTCCCGGCTGCTCCACTTCCTATCTAGCTTTCTGCTATGGCCTGGAAAAGCAGTAGAGGATGGCCCAAGTCCTTGGGCCCCTGCACACCCATGGGAGACCCAGAAGAAGCTCCTGACGCCGGATCGGCGCAGCTCCAGCTGTCGCGGCCAACTGGGGAGTGAACCAGAAGATGGACGACCTCTCTCTCTCTCTCCGCCTCTCCTCTCTTGTGTAACTCTGATTTTCAAATAAAATAAATAAATTTTTAAAAAAATGAATACTAAGGCCGGCGCCGCGGCTCACTAGGCTAATCCTCCGCCTAGCGGCGCCGGCACACCGGGTTCTAGTCCCGGTCGGGGCGCCGGATTCTGTCCCGGTTGCCCCTCTTCCAGGCCAGCTCTCTGCTGTGGCCCGGGAGTGCAGTGGAGGATGGCCCAAGTGCTTGGGCCCTGCACCCCATGGGAGACCAGGATAAGCACCTGGCTCCTGGCTCCTGCCATCGGATCAGCGCGGTGCGCCGGCCGCAGTGCGCCAGCCGGGGCGGCCATTGGAGGGTGAACCAACGGCAAAGGAAGACCTTTCTCTCTTTCTCTCTCTCTCTCACTGTCAACTCTGCCTGTCAAAAAAAAAAAAAAATGAATACTAAGGCCGGCACCGTGGCTCACTTGGCTAATCCTCTGCCTGCGGCGCCAGCACCCTGGGTTCTAGTCCTAGTTGGGGCGCCGGGTTCTGTTCCGGTTGCTCCTCTTCAAGTCCAGCTCTTTGCTGTGGCCCGGGAGTGCAGTGGAGGATGGCCCAAGTGCTTGTGCCCTGCACCCGCATGGGAGACCAGGATAAGCACCTGGCTCCTGGCTTCGGATCAGTGCAGTGCACCAGCTACAGCGGCCATTGGAGGGTGAACCAATGGAAAAAGGAAGACCTTTCTCCCTGTCTTTCTCTCACTGTCCACTCTGCCTGTCGACTCTGACTGTAAAAAAATAAAAATAAAAGAAAATAGAACCCCACTAAATAATCTTTAAAAAATCAAACACCATGATTTAAAAAAAAAAGAAAGCCAGAAAAACAGAGCGGATAGGGTAGGGGAGCAGGCAGGGAGGGGAGAGCTTCCATCCACGGTTCACTCCCCAGGTAACTGTGGCAGCCAGGTCAGGGCCAGCCAAAGAGAGGAGCCACAGACTCCACCAGGTCTGCCAAGTAGCACCTGCTGCCCCCCAAGGCCAGGCTGCAGGCTGAACTGAAAGTGGAGGAGTTGGGACTCGAACTGGCACCGCACTAAGGTGTGGAGGTAACCAGGGCGGTGGCCTAACTCACTGTGCCACAGCACACAGCAAAGCCAACAGTTCCTGAGAACACCAGAGAACTCAGGCATCAAGTTGACAAGGATGTCCTGTTGATGATGCCTTCCATTGCCTGCCTGTGAGGAGCGCAGGGACTGCGTGCATCAGAAGAAAGCGACTCTGGGTCTGCCCCCTCTGCCATCTCAGTTCTGGAAATTCTGGACACTTGACAGCTGACTGGCTGCACATATTGACAAGACCCGCCTTTCAATTTTATTGGTGTCTTTTTTTTTTTTTTTCCTGACAGGCAGAGTGGACAGTGAGAGAGAGAGAGACAGAGAGAAAGGTCTTCCTTTGCCGTTGGTTCACCCTCCAATGGCCGCCATGGCCGGTGCACCGCGCTGATCCAATGGCAGGAGCCAGGTGCTTCTCCTGGTCTCCCATGGGGTGCAGGGCCCAAGCACTTGGGCCATCCTCCACTGCACTCCCGGGCCACAGCAGAGAGCTGGCCTGGAAGAAGAGCAACCGGGGCAGAATCCGGTGCCCCGACCGGGACTAGAACCTGGTGTGCCGGCGCCACAAGGCCAAGGATTAGCCTAGTGAGCAGCGGCGCCGGCCCTTTTTATTTGTACAGAAGTTTTTTTTTATTTATTTTTATTTTTATTTTTTTGACAGGCAGAGTGGACAGTGAGAGAGAGACAGAGAGAAAGGTCTTCCTTTGCCATTGGTTCACCCTCCAATGGCCGCCCCGGCTGGCGCACTGCGGCCAGCGCACCGCGCTGATCCGATGGCAGGAGCCAGGTGCTTTTCCTGGTCTCCCATGGGGTGCAGGGCCCAAGCACTTGGGCCATCCTCCACTGCACTCCCGGGCCACAGCAGAGAGCTGGCCTGGAAGAGGGGCAACCAGGACAGAATCCAGCGCCCTGACTGGGACTAGAACCTGGTGTGCCGGCGCCACAAGGCCGAGGATTAGCCTAGTTAGCTGCAGCGCCAGCCCAAGATTTTTCAAAAAGATTTATTTATTTATTTGAAAGTCAGAGTTACAGAGAGAGAGAGAGAGAGAGAGAGAGAGAGAGAGAGAGAGAGAGAGAGAGAGGTCTTCCATCTGCTGGTTCACTCCCCAAATGGCCGGAGCTGTGCCGATCTGAAGCCGGGAGCTTCTTCTGGGTCTCCAACACAGGTGCAGGGGCCCAAGGACTTCATGCATCTTCTACTGCCTTCCCAGGCCATAGCAGAGAGCTGGATCCGAAGTGGAGCAGCCAGGACTCGAACTGGCACCCATGTGGGATGCCGGCACTGCAGGCAGTGGCTTTACTCGCTATGCCACAGCACTGGCCCCATCAATCTTTTCTAACTCTGAGTCTTTGTACAATAAATCCTTCTCTACTCCAAGATCAGAAAGATATTCTCTTACGCTCTTTCCGTAAATGTTGAAGTATTGCCTCTCACTGACTGTGGAACTTATTTTGTGTATGACATAAAGGTCTCATTCTATTTTTTCCATCAAGTACCCACTGAACAGTCCATCCTCTCCCTCAGCCCGTGACCGCACCTCTGCCACGCAGCAGGGCATCAAGTAGGCCATGGGCACTTCTGGGCGTGTTCCCTACTCCGGGGGCTGTGGTTCGTCTCTGCCCACACGGTGAACCTGACAACTACCCTTTCGTGCTAAGTCCTGCTCCCTGGTATGCCAGGCCCCTACGCGGCTTGGTTCCAAGAATGTGTTCACATATCTCAGCCCTTTGATCTCGCCTTACAGTATTTTAGGAGCAGCTTATCAAGATCTTTTTTGCAAAACACAGGATTTTGTCTGGAATCAGTTTATTAATAAATAAATTTGGAGAGATTCTGACATCATGGTGATACTGATTAATGAACATGATTGTATATTGTCGCTCCCCCTCTTCGTGGAGGAACGACACAGGACCCTGCGCTGTTCTTTCGTCTGCTCGGCCCTCCCCGGGTTTGCTGCTGGTTCTTCCCGGGTTGGCTACCGTCCCTTCCACCTCCGTGGAAGGGCAGTTCCCCCTGGCCGCATTCCCCACTTCCGCAGGGGAGCGGCACACCGCCGGCCGGCTCTTCTCGGGGGCTGCACAGGTGTTCCCCTTAGATGTTCCCCATAGATGTTCCTGGTGCATGCCGTCTCTCTCCTCCTTTATGGTCCTCCTCCGCCAATCCTAACTCGGCTGCCCACACGCCGAGTACGCTGCTCTCCAATCAGGAGCAAGTCCTACAGTTTATTAGTTGAACTGGAGGCAGCTGTGCGGAAGCTGTTTACTTCTCTCCCAGCGCCATATTGTGGGAGAGCAGATGCATAGAATAAGTCTTAATTCGAGTAACTTAGTCTAGTCCGGATTGCTCCCCACAGATCCCCCTTTCTTTTTATTTTTGGCGTTGATACGCGCCTGTCTTCGGTGTCCCGCGGCACACACTCTGCTCTACTTGCTAGAGTTGCCACAGGCTCTTACAAGTCCTATCAATCAGGAAAACCGAATCCGGGTCCTCTCTTCACCATGTTATGAGGAGGTTTTTAGGCGCTGATGCGTGCCTGTGTTCGGTGCCCTGCAGCGCATGCTCTGCTCTGCCTGCAGGGGACTTACAAGACCTATCAGGCAAACCGAATCCAAGCCTTCTCATTGCCTTATTGTGGGGGAGACTTATTAGTGTTGGTTCGTGCCTATCTTCGGTGACCTGCAGCTCATACTCTGGTCGAGCTGCTTGCTGGCGCTTACCGCCTTAATTAGGCAGACCGAA